CTGACACTGAAGATCATCCTGGATAGAAAGACAGGGATCCAGGGATCTATTGACTTAAGGATCCCTGTTTTGCTTAGCAAAAAGAACAGGATGATTAAATAGGTTTCTGTATACTGTGAGTCCTTGTGCTGAGTACAATCATCCCCTGCTACAAGAGGCAGCACAGCTGAGCACAAATAGAGCAGACATGGGATAAGAGACTTCACACCAAAGAGGACAAAGCTCTCAGCCAAGGTCAGCCTCTTAATCCAAGGCCAGGGCCTGAATAGAGAGCTTGGGACCTTGACATATTGCTGAGGACATCTGGGCAGATACCTGAAGACCTTGCTGGAACTTCTGAGCTTTGGGAGTGACCCCTTAGAACCCAGGCTGAATGGATGGTGAAGAGCTGTCCTCATCATTATCCAACATCTCTCTTTGTATCAGGCCTGCAAACAGGTCAGAGCCTTTGGGACACGCTATACTCCATATACTTAGAGCTAGAAAGAGTAATTTGCCCAAGAGCAGCCCACTGAAGTAGAAGGCTGCATGAAATCTGCTCCTGGAGAGGACCTGGGTTCAGCCCATATGCAGAGGGAGCCAGACACCTTCAAGTTGCCCTCTCTGGAGGTCTGACCAAGAAGGCAGGGAGTCTGAGTGGAGAAAAAAAGACTGGATCAGGGAAAGTTGATTCTTAGCCCCAACTGGGGAGAAATTGTGTTCAAGGGCTGAGAGTACTGACAAGGTGGCTAGAATGTGTGTGTGTATGTAACTAATGGTTCAATGAGATGGAATTGTTGGCACATGGATTGATACAAAGTCACAGTATGGATGTAGGAAGTAGGTCTCCTCTGACTGCATGATGTATAGGAGGTAGAGGGGTCTTCAGCTGATAGAGGTGGCATCTGGATGAGGGCACATGAGGTGGAAGGAAGGCCTGGATAGGAGTAGAGGGGTCTGCAGGTGAAGGGTGCCACAGCTGAGGATGAATCCTGGTCTGTGAAGACAGAAGACAGGGCTGATGTATCAGAGACATCTGGGTTCCCATCACTCAGGCACAGCTGGATGACCGAAGTGTTGGGAATATATTCCAGACTTGGTTTATTTTTGAATTTTCTTAAGGTGAAATTCATGTAACATAAAGTTCACATGCTAAAGTACATAATTCAATGTGGTGCTTTTCGTATCTATTATGTTGTATAACCCTCATTTCTACTTCATTCCCGAATATTTTCATCATCTTAAAGGAAATCCCATTAAGCAGTCACTCCTATTGTCCCTTCTCTTGAGCCCTGGTAACCATTAATCCATTCTCTGTATATATGGATTCACCCTTTTTGGGCATGTTCCTAAATGGAATTATCTGAACTTTTTGTAGATTAAAAAAAACCTACATGTTTTTAAAGATTACTTGCAGGTATATATTGTATGTTGAGCATATTCCTCCCATCCAGTGCCTCCTACCTTCACTTTGCCCCAACCTCTCCCTTCCCATTACTCCCCTTAGACAATTTTACTTTAGTTTTTTGTTTGTTTGTTTTTAGACAGAGTATTGCTGTATAGCCCAGGCTTGTCTGGAACTTGTGGTCCTCCTGCCTCAGCTTCCCAAGTGCTGGGATTATAGGTGTGCACCACTAAGTTGGATTCTTCCTGGATTCTGTTACTGATCATAAAGTTTTCAGGGTTCATCCATGTTTTAGAGTATATCAGAACTTCATTCTTTGGGCGGGAGAGATGGCTTAGCAGTTAAGAGCACTTACTGCTCTTGCAGAGGACCCAGTTTGGTTCTCAGCACCCACCAGCACCACATCAGGTGGTTTACAACTGCTTGTAACTACAGATCCAGGGGGTTTGGGAGATCTGATGCCTCTCTCCACCCCAGTTAAAAATAATAAAAATGAATCTTCAGCACTTGGAAGGCAGAGGCAGGCAGATCTTTGTGAGTTCGAGGCCAACCTGGTCTACATAGTGAGTTCCAGGCCAGCTGGGGCTACAGGGAGACCCTGTCTCAAAATGATGAAAAAACAAAACAAAACAAAAACTTAAAAAATTCTCTTCATGGTTAAACAACATTCAATTGGGTGGCTATACCACAAATTACCATTTATCAACAGATAACATTTAGGTTGTTTCCTTTCTGACTGCTGTAGGTGTAAACATTTATGTACAGGTATCTGTTTAGAGGGCAGATACCTAGGAGTAGAATTTCTGGCCTGCATGTTTATTCTGTGTTTAATATTTTGAGAATTTATGTTTGTCATATTTTATATTTGCACCAGCATGAAGGTTCCAACTTCTCTACATTTTCATCAACACCTGTTATTTTTCTCTTAAAAAACTGTCTTTTTTGCCAGGCGTGGTGGCACATGCCTTTAATCCCAGTACTTGGGAGGCAGAAACAGGCAGATCTCTGTGAGTTCAAGGCCAGCCTGGTCTATATAGTGAGCTCCAGGCCAGCTGGAGCTACAGGGAGACTCTATCTCAAAAAGATTAAGAAAAAATTGTCTTTTTTAGTTGTGAGAGCCTTTAATGGCTTCACCAGCTCTCCAGACCATTTTCTTAAAAATTTGTAGCCATTTATATTGACTGTGTAGCTCAGTTGATAGAATGTTTGCCTAGCATGCACCAAACCCTGGGATTGATCACCAGCACCACATAAAATCAGTCATGGTGATGCATACTTGTAATCCTAGCACTCAAGAGGTAGAGGATTACACCACCTGAAGATCAAGGTCATCCTTGGCTACATAGTGAGTTTTAGGCCAGCCTGGACTACAAGAGACCCTGAATTAAAAAAAATCCAGGAAGGCCGGGTGTGTTGGCTCATGCCTTTAATCCCAGCACTTGGGAGGCAGAGGCAGGCGAATCTCTGTGAGTTCGAGGCCAGCCTGGTCTACATAGCAAGTTCCAGGCCTACTGGGGCTACAGGGAGACCCTGTCTCAAAAAGACCAAAAGAAAAAAAAAATCCAGGAGGCTAGAGAAATGACTCAGTGGTTAGGAGTACTGTTGCAGAGGACCTAGGTTCAAGTTCCAGGACCCACATGGTGGTTAACAACCACTTGTAACTCCAGTTTGAGAGGATCCAGCTCCTTCTTCTGGCCTCTGAGGGCATTTCATGACATGGGTACACTTTACATATGTAGTCAGAACACTCATACATGTAAAATAAAAGTAAATGAATAAAACAAAATTTAAAAGCCATTCCATAACATGTACTTAGAAACTGATTTTTGCTGAAAACCATTGACTCCTCCCTGGGGCATATAAGTTGACTAAGAGCAGTATAAAACTCCAACATCCTTGTCTTCAATCTGTATCTGTCTCCTTTTGATTGAGTCCTACTCTGTGCATAGGCATGTTTATTACTCAAGGAGTGTCTATCTAGAAATCAGTGATACCTAACTGCTCTCACCTTCCTTCAAGGCTATAGACACAAAGCTAAGAATAACTGAGACATCTTACTGTCAGGTTTTACAATGTACTGTTTCAGACTCGTAAAAGGCATGTGAAAGTCTCTAGTCATGTCCCAAACCTGTGGCCACCTTGGATTCCAGGAATAGCAGAGCCTCACAAATCACCCCTGATGAGATCACTCCTTTAAACAGGAACAATCATTTCATGAGAACTGGATTGTTCCCTTAAGCAATACAAACTTCTAAACATCTGCAAAATTAGAACTGGGATAATGATCAACCATATTATACATACCTATTGCCCCGGCCCAATTCTTCTATTTAAACCTAAAGTTCCTGTGAGTACCATGAAAATGGGCTGAAATGCTGTTTTTCTATCCTTCTCATATAGCTATGTTGATTAAAATCCTTTTCTGACTTTTCAGTATTACTCTTGTTGGTTTTCTTGGAGAGTGGCCAGACCTGAGATATTAGAAGCCTAGCAGTTGAGCTTTGGTCTAGGACTGTGGTTATTAACGCCAGTAGATGTGAAATATCTGACTTATTTATTTTAATTGTTTCTCACCATCATTTGGAGACTTCTAAAGGTGCTGTTTACCAGTGAGATGGGTGGGACAGGCATCATGACGGGAGAGGCGCTATGATCTATTATAAGGTAGCCTGGGAAGGCTGGGCCAACAGCTGTGTGCTGTTGAACAAGCAAGGGAGAGAAGTGCCTGATACCAAAGGCCACACTTCGGATTATCCCTGGTTTCCCAACAGAAATGGGTCTTGGGAACTAGGCTGTTCCCCAGACTGGCATGAATGATCAGATCTGCAATGTCTCTCACTCTGGGGTCACAAACTCATATGTGTCCTCTCAGATGTGGAGGAAGGGGTTTGGAGCAAGTATCAGAACTAAATTTCTACAAACATACCCTTCCTGTATTATGAACCTTTTTTTAGGAGTTGTAATCAAGGAAAACATACAGAACTTTGAGACTCTGGCTGCTGTTACCACATTTTTCTTCTATGTGAAACTTGTTTACTCCCCCTTGATTTCCATATACATTTTTGGAACTGCTTGCTTAAGCAGCACTTTGGGACCTGAAAGAAGAGTTTTTGAGGACCACTGGTGCCCTCTAGTGGTGGCATGTAAGCCAGCATTAGCTGTCACATAAAAGGGTTAGTGTTGTGCCTTGTGTGTGAGGGGGTGAAGGGATAGGGATGAAGGGGACATTTACATGCAGGTTGTACCAGGGGCTATCATTTTGGGGCTTTCCTACGTGTGAGTAGAAGGAAGGGTTTCCTCCACAAGAGGGTTGTGGGAGGGATTGGTGAACTTTGCACATAGAGGGACCCAGGCCTCATTCCAGAGGGCAGACATTTGTGTGTAGAAATGTGACTGCCTGGGGCCTATGCTGGCTTCCAGTGCAGAATTCTTGCCTCTTACACTGTGTTAAGTTCTCCACAAGGCTTCAGAGAAGAGCCTTGGTCAGGGAAGATGTGGCACTGAAAGTCATGCTTCCCATAGGACCCTAAGACAGGTTTCATGCTGGGGCTGTCACAGTGCTCACCTGTGTGCTCATCGACCTTCTGAGACTCTAACTGGATTCTTTCAGGTGACACTGAAGTGAGATGGGACACAGGCTGCAGAAGTCAAGTCACAGAGATATATGCCTTGCTGATGGTTGATGGGCTAAATTCTAGGTCTTTCCAACCTAGATCCACACTCTTTTGGCAGCAGGCCTGGTCACTAAAAGCAACCCAGATTATCAGTCAGGTAAGCCCTCTGTCATGATTCTGTCCTTGCAAGCTGAGGAAGAGGATCCAGCTATTCCTCTCCCTGGCCTGACCTTTGTAGCACCTTTCCCAGCCCAGTTAAGCCATACTTCCACTTTTGATCCATAACAGCTGTGTAATAACAAATGTTTATTTTTTTAAGTTTTTTGAGTATGGGCCACAAAATGTGCAACTCCAAAACATGTTTCTTTAGCATTTTTCAAGGTAGCTATTCAGAGAGACTCAGGGCTCTGTAGCCCCAGGGGTGGTTCTGAAAGATTGTCCTTTTGTAACCAATTTATAGTACATAATAAGGTGGAGCTTTGTCTGACATCCACCTACCTCCTTCCTTGGAAAGACTGTTCCATAGGAGGAATAGATGAAGGTCTGATACCTGGTTCAGAGACGTAACCACAAGGCAGCTGTCATTGGGAAAACAGCCCCTGCTCCCTCTTCACCTACCCCTATCTTCTATAGCCTGTTCTACTCTCCTTCCCCTAGGAACCTAAGCCCTGACCCTGTACATAGGCTCAGCCTTTCCTACCCTTCTGAGTTTCTTCCTAAGTGTGTATGGTTCCTGGAATTGGGCATTTACAGATGCAAGTGTTCTTTTCCCTGTTAACCTGTCTAATTCCAGTTTGTTTCATTGGCTAAAACTATCAGAGCTTCAGAGGGAAAAGAGTAATTTAAAACTTCCCTACAGGAGAACTTGGCTTACATCAGTAGATAGCTAACCAAGATGGACTGAGAAATACTTATGTTATCCTGTTGTTGATGAGCAATGAACAGACTTCTACTTGGGAACTGCTGGCTACATGTATGCTCATGGGGAGGAAAGGCTGGGAACAGTGAGATTATGATGCTTACCCATTCCTGACACATTTTACTGAGAATTTTATACTACTATGTGTGTTAGTGTTCTCTATTATATGGGATTTATTAGCTTGGCTTCTATGCTATGATCTGGGTAGTCCAACAATGGCTGTCTCATACTAGAGAGGCTGAGAATCTGGTACTAGTTCAATCCACAAGGCTGGATATCTCAGCAGTCCTAGCTGGTGTTGAAGGCTTGGGGGATTCCCAGAGAGCTGATGGTGTTATCTACTTGGAATACCACCAAATCAATGGTACGGATAAACTCGCCATTGAGAGTGAAGGCAAGCAGGCAAAACCCAAGAGCTCCCTTCTGCCATGTTCTTTTATACGGGCTGCCACCAGAAAATGCTGCCCACATGAAGGGTGGGTATTCCAGGTTCAACTAATCTGATCAAGAACGTCTCTCATGGGGTTGGAGAGATGGCTCAGCAGTTAAGAGCCCTGGCTGCTCTTGCAGAGGGCCTGGATTTTATTCCCAGCGCCTATGTGGTAGCTAACAACCATCTGCAACTCCAGTTCATGGGGGATCCAATGCCCTCTTCTGGCCTCCACAGGCATTGCATGACACAGGTGCACTTACATATGCAGGCAAAACACTCATACACATAAAAATAAAATAAATAAAAAAGAAAGGGCCTCATGTTTTAGTTAATTACATATCTAGTCAAGTTGCCAACCAAGAGATTAGCCATCAAAAGTCCAACCCTTGTCAACTTAATACCTAATCATATCTCCTTTTGTCATGCCTAATTTCCATATGAAAACAATAACAAAGTCATAATTCTGCCTAACATTATATAGCTATCTCATGTACAACTGTAAGTGCATTATATATTTTAGAATAGGTAGCAAAGTCCTTTGAGGAATGCTTAAACTTTTAGTGTCTCATAAGTTAAATATAATAGCGTAGATTTATAACACTCTTGCTGATATTATCTCAATTGATTTTATATTACATGATAAAGAAATAGAGGAAAGAAAACACAAATATCTGCTTAACATGTGTGTACACATGCACAAACATGTTCTTAACAAAATATGACAAATACTTATGTCAATTATAATCCTTGTTTCTGCAACTGGTTAGCTGGTATTTGTAACTATCTTCCTCTTTGGGGGCTGGAGAGATGGCTCAGCGGTTAAGAACACTGACTGTTCTTGCAGAAGACCCGGGTTTGAATCCCAGCACCCACATGACAGCTAACAACTGTTCTTAACTCCAGTTCCAGGGGATCTGACAGCCTCGTCTGTCCTCCGTGGGCATTGCACGACACAGGTGCACTTACCTACGTGCAGGCATAACACTCATACACATAAAATTAAAAACAAAACAAAACTATCTTCCTCTATTAACCTCTATTCCTCTACTCTCAGTGGAACACCTCAGCAAGTCTTGGCTCTCTCCTTGGAGGAGTGAGCTATACCTTAATCTTTGAAGGATCTGGGCCAGCCATTGGTCATCCTACTGGAATTGGATTGTTTCAGTTTTCCATTGGCCTTAATCACAGGACATGCTAACACCAAGAGATGCCTCAAAGGATCATCTGCATTCCAGACATTGTCTTCCTTTACCTTCATTGTGGAGATGCAGTCCAATTTCCTCCTGGTAGTCTGGATAAATCCTCCACCTCCCCAATACTGTTATTTCTTTCTTAGCCTGTTGACTTATGGGCATCAGAAGCCCAAAGTGGCCAGGGGAATGTCTTAGCTTCCAGTTTAATGGAATGTTTGTTGTGCCTCCTGGCAGAAGCATTTCCCCCTCTGGAACAAAAACCTCTAGGCCAGCTGAGCATAAGATTTCAGAAACAGGAAACAAAAAAAATTTCCTAGTGGGTCACTAGGGGTGAAAGTAAGTAGAATCATTCCCATTTCTATTCCTTGATTCCTGGACCTGTGAATCCTGGTTATAGGGGAAACTAACATATATTGGATGTTGATTCAAAACATACACCATTTTCTGGAGAACCTTGCCCCAGTCCTCCAGACTAGTACCATCTAATTAGCGCTATAGCTGTATCTTTAAGAGGCCATTCTGAGTTGGGCATGGTGGCACACATCTTTTATCTTAGCACTCTTGAAATAGAGGCCGGTGGATCTCAGTGAGATCAAAGCCAGCCTAGTCCACATTGAGTTCCAGGACAGCCAGGGCACAGTGAGACCTTGTCTCAAAAAAAATCAAAACCCAGTTCCACCATTCTATCAAGCCAGCTACTTCAGGATGGTGGGTAACAATGGTAAGATCAGTGAATTCCATGAGCAAGAGCTCACTGCTGTACTTCTTTATCTGTGAAGTGAGTTCCTTGGTCAAAAGTGATGCTGGGCGGAATACCATGATGGTGGATAAGATATTTTGTAAGTCCCTGGATGGTAGTTTTTGTAGAAGCATTATGTGCAAGAAAGATAAACCCATAACCAGAACAGGTCTGTTCTAGTAAGAACAAAGCACTGTCCTGTCCATGATGGAAGTGGTCCAATTTGTCAACCTGCCACCAGGTTGCTGGCTGGTCACTGTGGGGTATGGTGCTATATCAGGGGCTTAGTGTTGGTCTCTGTTGCTGGCATATTTGATACTCAGCAGTAGCTGTAGTTAAGACAGCTTTGGTGAGTGGGAGTCCATGTTGTTTAGCCCATGCATAACCTCCATCACTACCACTATGGACTCTTTGCTCATGGGCCCATTGGGCAATGACAGGGATGGCTGGAGAAAGAGGCTGACTGTTGACAGAATATGCCATCCTATCTACTTGATTATTGAACTCCTAAATCACTGTTTGATGAGCATTTATGGTAGGCACAAGTATCTTCATGTTCTTTGCCCATTTGAAGAAATTGATTACATACTTCTTCCCCAAATGCCCTTTTTACCAGTTCTCCAATCATGCTCCTTCCAAATCCCTGACCATCCAGCCAAACAATTGGCTACAGCCCATGAATCAGTATGTAATTGCACATCTGGCCATTTTTCCTTCCAAGCAAAATGTACAACTATGTGCACTGCCTGAAGTTCTTGCCCACTGTAAAGATTTTCCTTCACTAGTGTCTTTCAGGGCTGTCCCAGAAAGAGACTGTGATGCGTAGCTGTCTACTTCTGGGTGGTACCTGCACACTGTGCAGAACCTCAGTGGAACCAGATCGTAGTCTTCTCTTCCTGGATTATGCCCCACCACATTTTCTTCATTCTGGAAGGCCCTTACCACATTCTCCACCATCCCTTTGGATGCTAAGCTTTTCTTGGGGCAAAGAGCATCATCTTGGCTTAGAGGTTTGTACTTCCATAACATCATTACATGTTCATCCATTTTTCTTTCAACTGTGATCTCAATGAGACTGGAGACAGAGCTTACAATCAGTGGAGCTAGGCAGGGTAGAATCAGGAAAGTCCCCCAAATAAAAAATATAACATGAGGGTTTTAAATCCCCCCAAAAGCTCCCCAGGGTCCCACTCTTTCCAGGTCTGGACTGGGACATGAGTGATTTTTCTCATTCGGTCTATGATTTCTTCTATGATTTTTCCCTCATCATCTGTTTGTAAGTAGTAGTTGCTTAGGTTAAAATTTCCACAAACTCCTCTGTCAGAGGCAAATAAGTAATCTAAGGCTAAAGAATTTTGATAACATTGTACATTTGGTTTGTTGTGTGGCTAGTATGTTAAAGTTTTTTTCAGTTTCATTAGTTAATTTCAACATCAGCCTGTAACCTGATGATATGGTTTAACATATAGATGGGAGTGCGGTATCCATAGGACCCATCCTCTGCGTAGGTGACTGAACCATAATAATGGATTATATGCTCAGGGGGCCATTTATCATCTTTCCAGTTGCCTATTTGTAAGGCACACCATTTTCTTTTGATTTCCAAGTTCTCATATACTTGAACTCCCAAATGTTCCTCTGTTAAGTGGGAGTAGGAAAAAAGATGGATGGATAGATTCTAATATACAAGATCTTGATCAGTTTTGGGGAAGTACAGTATAGGCTGTCCTTCTGAATATCCAGTATAGTTCATCTGGGGCCTGCCATTCAGTGTCTACATTGATATCACTGCAGGCCTGTCAGAAATAAGAGAAGTTGGACAAAAGGTGAAGATCTGGTTCAGAGAGGTTTGGGGGATCCCCACTGTTGGGTT